GGAGATTAAGGGAAAGAGAAAAATAGCGAGAACACAATATAAAAGAATAAAAAAAGGCAAAGAGAGAAAACGAGAGTGAGAGAGAGAGAGAGAGAGAGAGAGAGAGAGAGAGAGAGAGGGGGGAGAGAGAGAGGGGCGAGTGAAAGCAATAATGAAAAAAAAGAGAAAGAAAACGAAGATAAAACAGCGAAATTATAAAACGAAAAATAAAGTAAGCGAAAGAAGAAGAACGAGGGGGAGAAAGTAAACGAAAAAGAAAGACAGATCAAAAAATAGGGAATGAAAGAGAGAGAGAGAGAGAAAAGAGAGAGAGAAAGAGAAAAGATGAGAAAAGATGAAAGAAAAAGAAAGAGAGAGAGAGAGAGAGCAATCGAAAAAGGAGACATTGAAAAAAGGAAAAAAAAGAAAAGCGCTAAACAGAAAATGATTGAAAAGAATAAGAAATAGAATTAAAGAATATCTAAAATTGAAGAAAGAAAAAAGAAAAGGAGAAAAGGGAGAAGGAAAGAAAGAAGAGGAAAGAAAAGAGAGAAAGGGGAGGAAAGGGAGAGAGGGAGAGAGGAAAGGGAGAGGGGGTAAGGGAGAAATAAACAAACAAAGGAAAAAACAAGGAAAGAAAGAGAGAGGGAGAGAGAGAGAAAGGAGAGAGAGGAGAGGTGGGGGAAAGAAAATAGAGCCAAAGAAAGGAAAACAAAAAGACAAGAAAGAGAATGGAGAGGGGGAGAGAGAGAGAAAGGAAAAACAAGAAAGAGAGAGAGAGAGAGAGAGGGAGAGAGAGAGGGAGAGAGGCGGGGTAAGGGAGAAATAAATAGAGTCAAAGAAAGGAAAAACAAGAAAGAAATAGAAAGAGAGAGAGGGAAAGGGAGAGAGGGGGTAAGCGAGAAATAAATAGAGCCAAAGAAAGGAAAAACAAGAAAGGAATAGAGGGAGAGAGAGAGAGAGAGAGAGAAGGGGGATAAGGAGAAATAAATAGAGCTAAAGAAAGGAAAAACAAGAAAGAAATAGAGAGAGAGAGGAAAGGGGAGGGGGGTAATAAAGCGAGAAATAAAGAAAGGAAAAAAAAGAAAGGAAAACAAAGAGAGAGAGAGAGAGAGAGAGAGAGAGAGAGGCGGGATAAGGGAGAAATAAATAGAGCTAAAGAAAGGAAAAACAAGAAAGAAATAGAGAAGGAGAGAGAGAGAGAGAGAGAGAGAGAGGGCGACGGAAGGGAGAAAGCCAGAGAGATGCAAAATAGGTAGAGGAATCCGACACGGAAAAGAATCGATAGATTCCATAGATGTAGATGTTATTTGCAGTCGTAGTGGTAATGATGATGCTGATGTTGATACCTAGGGATGGTGGTGGAGAGGGGGTGGCAGTAGGCCAGGCAGTCCCTGTGGTGACATCAACTGTAGCAGCGTCGGTGGCGGCGGCGGCGGCGTCGAAGTTATTTGTAGTCGCAGTCGAACATTCGAAGTATCAGTAGCCGCCGCCACCACCACCGTGAAACTTGTAATTCAGCATCAATTGTATGTGATAAAGAAGAGGTGGGGGGGTGGAGAAAGAGAAGTAGGTGGAAGGAGCAGTAGTAGGAATGGAAGAAAAGCTGGGAGAAGCGGAATGGTGGTGTCGTAGATGTAGTCCGGGGGGGTGTACGAGAGGGAGGGATAGTATGAGGAGAGGAGGAAAAAGGAGAGGATGGAAAAAAAGAAGGAGAGTAAGGACGAAATATAAAGAAGTTAGCGTGGATTTGAGAATGGATAAAAGGAAGTAGATTTTGTCGATGGAGTGAAATGTTAGCCTTGTACAGAGAGAGAGAGAGAGAGAGAGAGAGAGAGAGAGAGGAGAGAGACAGAGAGAGAGAGAGAGAGAGAGAGAGAGAGAGAGGAAAGAGAAAGTCGATGTGAAGACACCTACTATGGTTACTACAACTACTACTAAAACAACTAATAATAATAATAATAATAATAATAATAATAAGAAGAAGAAGAAGAAGAAGAAGAAGAAGGAACAAAAAGAAAAAAGAAATCGATTGGGTAAGAAGAAAGAGAAAAAGTAAGAGAAGAGAGAAGTTGAGAGAGAATGAAAAATTAAAGAAATTATCAAAAATTAGGAAGAGAAAGAAAGTAGAAACGAAGGAAAAGATAAAGCAAGAGACAAGAAAGAAAGACAGAAAGAATGAATGAATGAATGAAGAAAGGAAAGAAGGAAGCAAAGAAAGAAATAAAGAAAAAAGAAAGAAAGAAAGAAACAAGAAAGAAATAAAAAAATGAAAGAAAGCAGGATGAAAAATGAAATAGAGGAGACAAGGAAGAAGATGAGAAGAAAAGAAAAAAGCGCTTTAGCGAGGCTAAAGTGTTAAAGGAGAGATGGCCGAAAATGAAAAAGAAAAGTAAAGAAAGGACTGACGAAAAAAAAAATTAAAACTAAGGAAGAAAGAAAGAAAGAAAGAAAGAAGACGAAGAAAAGGAGGAGGAAAAGAAGAAACGTAAAAAAAATTTAGACGAAAATGGCAAAGAGA